GCTATAGCTACTACTACTACTCCTCCTACTATTGCTACTGCTACTGCTACTGCTACTGCTACTGCTACTGCTACTGCTACTGCTACTGCTACTGCTACTGCTACTGCTACTGCTACTGCTACTGCTATTGCTGCTTCTTCTTCTACTACTACTGCTGCTACTGCTACTGCTACTACTAGTCCTAGTACTACTACGGCTATTATTATTATTACTACTACTACTACTACGACTACTACTACTACTACTACTATTACTACTACTACTGCTGCTACTACTACTCCTACCTCTTCTACTACTGCTACTGCTACTACAGCAGCAGCAGAACTGCTACTGCTCGTCCTCCTGTTACACCGACTACTTACCACGACGAATACTACTCTTGCTGCTACTGCTTTACCACGCTGCTGCTCCATGGCCAGAATATGGCCAAAAGGTTCGAGCAACGAACAGGACGACAAAAAACATGCCGGAACAGAACCCTGCTCCGTCCTCCGCCGCTGTTTCGGCACGGCGGCTGAGTGCTTGTGCAAGCCGCAGCCACCTGGCATTCTCTTCCGCAAGAGGCTTCAGGGTTCGGGGCCCAAGGTTCAGGAGGTAGTTCAGATCTAGGCTCTAAACAATAATGCCGCGCCCCTGAACCCTAAACTCAAGGCTTACCTCGGTGGGCGGTGCCTACGCCCCATGCTCTCTATTGCGACAGGTCGACCTAATTACCTGGTCCGCCTCAACACAGCCACGAGATCGGTAGCACCTATGAGGTAGGTAGCACCCTCGATAGGCATGGCCAACTCAAGTAAATGCAGTAGACCCAGGAGGGCCCTCCTCTGTGAGCGAATTTCGGGAATGTCGGGACAAGGGCGCAGGGAGTTGCAGGCCTCTCAGAACTTATGGCCTCCTACCCTCGGAACCCTTTCCGGGCTCGCAGCAGCCTCCAAGGGCCTTCTTCCAGCCTTCCAATCCTAATGCAAAACCTTCAAACGCCACTTCAGACATGACAACGTAAGATGAAGATGAAATTGTGTTGTTGACCAAGATGGACCTAACTGAGTTTAGGTCCCAAACCCTAGAAGCAGGTTTGTGTGGCTTGGCCGCCTGACACGGCATGGGGTGGGTGAATGTGTTAGATGCCCTTCCACGGTCAGGCCATTGCAGCACTTCGCAAGCCGCAATGCACTCGACATCACGTTGCAGCGCGTCCTGTGCATGTTCCACCTGACATCACAGCAAACCCTAAACCCTAATCCCGGTTCAGGGCCCAGACTTCAAGATGCCATAATTAGGACTTCTGGTCTTTGGGTCCGAGGTTCGATTGCTTGT